GACAAAAAAATGGTGGCAGATATATAATTCCATCGATATAAATGCTAGAAAATGCCAGCTAATCTAGTGACAGAAAACACATCTGGTAGGAAGAGGAACTGCAAAGAGGCACAAGGACATTTCTGAGAAAATGGGTATGTTCAGTATCTTGACTGTGGGAACAGTTTCACAGGCATCTTAAAACTTATAAGACTCTAATTGTGCAATATACGTAGTATAATGCATGTCAATTATACTTGAATAAAGATATTCAGAGAGGGGGAAAATTCAGTCATTCTTGTTGGCTTAGCCTTCCCTTGGCAAATGGGAGAGTGTCACTCCTTTTTCATTGGTGCTGAAACCCTGCCATTTTATTTTTGGTAAAAAGATATGGGACCGTATTTATACATTTCTCACCATCTCTGCCTCTTCTAATTTAGACCATCATTTCTAATCTGGATTACTTCGATGGCCCCTTTAAGCTTTCCCATTTCCAGTGTTGCTTCTCTTATTCTTTCCAAAAGTCTGCAATGGCTCCCAATCTTACTCCAAATCTAAACCTAGTACAATGTAGTATGATATTACAAGGCCCTATCTTTGGTTACCCATACCCTTGCCCCTCTGTCTTCACTTCTTTTCCTCTTCCCTTACTCAATTCCAACCACACTAGTTGCTTCTGAAACATTCCAGTCATGTTCCTTCTCTCTGCCTTTGCACTTCCTATCCTCTTCTCTTTGTTCCCTGCCCCCTCCTTTAAATTTCTGAGTGGCTCCTTCTCTCCTTCCAATCTTTGCTTAAATGATACCTTCTAAATAAGGCCTTGCCTGAGTTCCCTATTTAAAATTGTAAGCCTAGCCTTCACCCTTGTCATACAATCTACATCTTTATTTTGTTGTCTATTTATTGTCTCCCCTTGCTGAAATGTAAGCTTGATGAAGTCAGGAATTTTGTCTGTTTTGTTCACAGTTATATGTTCAGCATCTAGACAAGGGCCTAGCAAATAGTAGATTCCTATTGTTAAATGAATAAATAATAACATGAGTGCAAAAAAAGTGACTTATTAGACCAAACAAGTTTTACTGAGCAGTATAAGTGACTTCAAAAAATAACTGATAACACATGGGATGATACAATAAAACAGATATACGTCAAATGGGTTTTGAGATCTTAGACGGGGCTGCTGGGAGGCTAAGGAACACAATAAGTAGCTTAGCATTTTTACAAATGTTCCAAAACTCCAAGCTGCAATTACAACCTAGCTTTTCAGTGATAGTCTCAGTGATGACCTAAGGAATACATGACCATTCATTTTAAAATAGAGCTTCAAGAATTATGTCAACAAATTTTCATCCTTAGAGGATTCAATGTTTCCCAAATCAAAGACAAAATGGGAATCCTAGAATTCCAAGAAAAGTATTGCAAAATTCCTACTTTCTAACCTATCATATACTCAACAGGAAACACAGATTGGTCTCTCTTCCTTTTGTGAAACTTCTTGGTCCTTCATAGGATACCAAAAAAATAATGTCAAGAATCTGCAATATTTGGCACTATTTAAAAATCTTAAAAATTGTTTTTCTATAAAGACAGTTTCACAAAAAATGCTTCCTGCCAAATAAAGAAACAAAAATGGTAACCAAAAGTTACTGTCTAAGTGATGTTTTTGAAGCTGTTCCAGTCAAAGAACAAGGTGTTGGACCATATTAAACATTGGGTTTTTAATGCTATCTTTGCTAAAATTCGTTTTTATAGCTAGGAGTAACAAGCAATTGCCGCCAAAACTGAAATAGGAAAATCAAATAGTCTGCCTATTTACATATGGTTCCCTGAAGCCATTCCTGATTAAAAATTGTACCATCTCAATCTTCCTACTAGAGATATCTATTAACTAGAATTGCATATGAAAGCCCAAGAATTTAGTATATAATGACACGTATCCTATACAAATTACTTCTCAATGACCTCTACTCATGAAAATAAACCAAAGAGGGATGATTGGCTCATTATAAATCCACAAGAAGATTTCCCTGGGAAAAGGTATTGAAAGCAAAGTCCTGAAAGATCTTAAGCTTCAATGGAATTTAATTTCAGCAGGAAGCAATCACTTCTGCACCTGAATTCCCAGTGCGTTATATGTGAAGCTCTCCAGTAGCAAGCAACATTCTCCAACTTATATCCCTGCTCTTGTCACTAGGGAACTATATGACCTTGGATAAGCCACTTCCTTTCTCAGTGTTTTCATCTGTAAAATGAGAGGCTATAACGAGGTAATTCCAAAGTCTATTCCAGACTTCCAAAAAAGTCTCACTCCTAATGTTTTATCATTTCATAATTATAATCAAAAGAGCACCCCTAACCTCACCTGTCCTCTCAAGGCAAGGAAGGCATGTGATTTACCTTTGGAGTTCCCATTCGGTTTAGAACAGCTAATTGAACTTGCCTTAGCAACTGCTTGACGGACGTATTCGAGGACACAGAAAACATTACAGAGACAAGTTCAAGAACACAGATATCAGTATAGTCCTCTGAAGTGACCACTCTCTGTGGCTCCTTTAGCCCTTCCCAACTTCAAACCGTGACTTTAAACCAAATGGCTCTGTTCTTCAAGTCTACCTTTACCACAGTTCTGGCAGGATTATAAGAAGATCAGAGAACTAAAAATATATCATTTGTTACGTGGAAAAAATCACCTGGAAGAAATGCACCCACCAGAATTTCAGGGCACATGCTTGGTACACCATGTGACCCAAAACCATACATAGCCAGAGACCTAGAGGAAGGTTCTGTTTAGATTAAGCTGTTCTAACATATTCCAATCATCTGAGAGTATGTGCTTGAAAGCCAGAAAGCTACACAGATGTGGGGGAGAGGTGAAGCTGGAGGGAGAAACAAAGGTGTCAAGACCTACAAGGAAAAGCAAGTAGAACATTTCCTTAACCTTTCCTGAAGGTAGACATTTTATAAACACAAATCCTCGAGGCAGTTACACTGCTGGATAGTAAATACCTGCTCATAACGCATGCAACCTTAGATGTTTAGACTCTGAAGCCAAAATGTCTGCATTCAAATCCTAGCTCTGCTAATTACTCACTACAAAACAAGGAACAAGTTAATCATCCTTCTGTGCCTCAGTTTTCTCATCTGTAAAGTAAGGATAACATTAGTACCTTGTTACTACTTCATTCTTTGGGTGGCCGTGAAGAGGATAAAATGAGTCAATACATGGAAAATGTTTATGACAGTACCTGGCACATATGAGGTACCCAGTAAATGAGCACCCTCAGTATTGCTATTTTTATTAGATAGAGTTCTGGGAATCTCTGGGGTTAAGAAAACAAAGGAATTATGTACACTAGTCTTACAGATTCTAATTCTAATACCTCTTTCAGGTAATAGTTGCAAGTATAAACATTCCTATATTTATATATAATCTATATTTGTATACTTTATCAGTCTTAACTACTCCAACTATATAAACTATTCATTAAAAATTTAAAATCCTTTCTGAAAGATATTCTAGGTTTCAAAAACTACTCGATCACCCACGCGCAGGGAGTACAATAGGACTATTAAACTGTGGGCTGAGAGCAAGTGCGAACACAAAGACACCTTTGTAGCAGTCTATGCTATCACATACCACTGCTTCAGTTTCAGAGAATTGTCTCCTTGAGAAAGAAACTAACAAACTCCATTGTTCGTTCACATCAGACTTCTTGGATGTGATAGTTCTTAAATCCCTGGCAAGTCCTTATTAAAGATCAGAGGATTTAGGTTCTTTCCATTAGGACAGCATGGAATCCCTTCAAGCGATTTTCTTGGGTCAGCATCATTATTTGAGATACCAGAGAAACTGGTGATATTTCCAACCACCAAAACAGTTCCTTGTATTGGACTAAAGACATAGGGTAAAGTTAGAAGAGATAATAGTTATCCTAAGGACATTTTTGAAACTAGGGAACTGTAAGAAATTCAAAGAGTACCATGAGATTTTTTTCACCTTAAGTTCCTTTTCCAAAACAGTCATTTTAGAAAACAAAAAACAAGTAAAACAACAACAAAATCCAGTTAAACAACTAGAGTTGTCAGAAAACAATGACCCTTAAAAGTTCCAGTCATTCACTGATGGGACATCTACAACTCTGGTTTTCTAAACATCTTTCAATATAGCAGATAAGAGAGTTAATGCTATGTTTTGTATTCCTTTGTCAAATAATCAGGCACAAAAGAAAATCAGCAATGATCATGCTGTCCTCAATATGTAAAACTACCATTTTTGTGATCCTGTTCTGAGAAATAATGGGGACCCTAAAATCACAAAAACAAAACAACAAAAGAAAAATTTCGATAGGCCACTAAAAGGTAACCTAGGATCTCTGTTCCTAGGGGACTAGATTTCAGAAATGTAAGAACAAGTTTACCACAGGAATCCAAGGGGTCTAAAACTGAAAAACTGGGTAGGGGGCTACATGGTTTCCTGAAAATACAGGACTGTCTGCTTATAAAACCCAACTCAATTGCTTCTGGCAAGGAAGGACAGTAGTAAAAACTGTATGAAGTCAAGAACAAGTCTATATTTGACAAATCACACCCATCAAGATAGTGATGTCAACCACAATAAAATATTTTGGCAAGACTGGAAATGTGCACCTGTGGGAACCTGGAAAGATTTGACAGATTTTTGTTTTCCCGGCCCTTTATCAGCAAGTTAATTATAGCAACTGTACAATCTACTCTGAGCTTTAGAGAAAGACAGTTGGCTGTATGAAACCCAAGATGCTGCTCTCCTGGGCATGGGAAAGACAAAATGACAGTAGTGCTTACACTTAAAAATATTCTGAATACAGTGTAACAATGAGCAAGATAGCATAGCTAAATGAGAATGAGGTATATTCTGTAGATATACAGGAGTGACAAGCCTAAAAAGCACACATAACACACACATGAGCACACACATGCAAACATGCCTAAACAACTCTGGTTATATTACATTCAGGACTGCTTTTTTCCACAGCAGACTGTACCTTCACAGCTATAATTGTACACTGCCACCGCTGACCTGTCCACCAGATTTTCATCATGATGCCAGCTCACTGCCATTTTCCCCATGCCAAAATAAGGCTCTTCTTTCAGATATGGCATTTTCTGAGGATCCATGAAATTGAGCAAAGTTACATTGTATGCTGCTCTACTCTTAATGTCCACTTCATCTTGTCCATCATAGGATGACCCCATGCCAACTCTGGGGAAATCTGCAGCCATACACACTGGCACGGCATCCTCATTAGCCTTCTCTTTGGAAGCAAGTTCTTCCAAAGCCTGGATGGTTTCTGTTTGCAGGTAGTCATTGAGCTTGAGGAAGGTCTGACAAGCAGCAGCTATTTCAGCCTCAATGTATTTTATATCAGAATCTTTCACTGGCCAGGGTACTGTAAAGAGCCTGGTGTTCAGATATTTGTAGGTGCAGCCTGGATTGCCAATGAGGATGCGAGACACCGGTGTGAGCAAATCTTTGCCTTGGATCCTAACCAGGTCCCGAAATAAGCAGCCATGCTTGTGCAGTATGAGGAAAGCTTCTTGAACCTCTTTATGGAGATCCTCGGATACACTGTCGGCTTCTCGGAGAATGAGTTTAGGATATTTCAGCTGCCACTGAAACAAAACCAAAGCAAAGATACATATTTATGAACAGTTACAATTGCATTAATTCCAAAAGTGTGGGGATTTTTGTTAGCACTAGGGTTTGGGGAGTACTACCAGTGTCATTTCTAAACAGGATTCGTATTTCCCTAGCCTAAAATAGAAAACTAAATAAAACAAATGTTGGCCAGGCATGGTGGCTCATGCCTGTAATCCTAGCACTTTGGGAGGAGGAGGTGAGAGGACTGCCTGAGCCCAGGGGTTCAAGACCAGTCTGGGCAACTTGGCAAGACTTCGTCTCTACAATAAATCAAAAAATTAGCCGGGTGCGGTGGCATGTGCCTGTGGTTCTAGCTACTTAGAAGGCTGCGACAGAAGGATCATCGTCTGAGCCCAGCAGGTCAAGACTGCAGTGGCAATGAGCATGCCACTGCATTCCAGTCTAGGTGACAAAGTGAGACTCCAACTCTAAATAAATAAATAAATGTATGTCATCAAGCTCTACAATCAAGATCTTCAAGTTCAACCTCAGACTAGTAATATAAACATGTTAATACATATGAATATAATTAGTACATATTACTAAAATTTTAATATAAACAAAATAATCATAATTTAGGCTATGACCACTTTTTCTCACCCTGAATCTCTCTTCCAGTCATTGGCCCTCTTAAAAACACAATCTTATTAACTTATTGCTTATCATCTACTTATTAAGTGCTTCCTATGGACCAGGTACTGCTCTAGGTTATTTATACACATTAACTAACTTCTCATAACTTTATGCATAGTACTATTATCTCCAGTTTATAGATGAGTCTACTAAAGAACAGAGATATTTTAACAATTTGCCCAACTCACACAGCTGGTAAATATTGGCACTGGAACTTCCAGCCACTAGGCTCTAGCATCCCACCACTCCAGAGTATGAGTTCTTAACCACTAGACCACACTGCCTCTCAATAAATGGCAAACTGGCTTGTGCTTCAATACTTTCACTAAAAGAGAACTTACTTCTCTTCTGGAGTTAGACATTAAGTTCCACAACTACAATATCCATGACAATTCTGTTCATGACTATAATACTACTGTATAGAATATACTCAGAAAATGGTAGATAAATGCATGGATGAATAAATGAGGTATTCAACTACAGTTCTAAAAGTTGTAATAATCCTATTGGTGTCACTGGAGGAGGATAATGTAAAACAATTCCTTCCATCATACAAATATATGGAATTATTGCTGCAGTTTAGGACTGCATTAAGTTTTCAGAAACCAGATTTAGCTCCTTAGGTCTTGACATATGAATTGGTATCAAGCCAGAGTTCCCTGATCATGTATAATGCAGATTTCTTTTTAACCAAAGCAAAGAATTTTACATTTACCTCTATAAAGTTTAATTTGATATGATCCCTCCAAGTTTTAGGCTGAGTCTTAAAGAAAGGAGTAACACATGATTAACCCATTAACCTGTCCACCTAGTAATGTGCTGCCCACCATTTTTGAGATGCTTTCCTATTCTATCTTCATTCAATAACTACCATATATATGATATGCAGACAAGAAGATTTACCCTTCTATATATGTATATGTATTTTTTCATTCAACATGTATTTATTGAGCACCTACCAAAAACCAGATAGAAATAAGGTCCCTGCCCTCACAGAGCTTTCTACAAAATCAAGTAAATAAATAGGGAAAATAATCCAAAATTGTGTTAAGCACTAAGACAAAAACAAATCAGTAGGAAATCTCACAGAGTAGGAAGGACTCTCTAAGGAAATGACATTTAAGGTGAAATTTTCAGAAAAAGAAGGCACCAGACATGTAACAACCTAGGGAAAGAACTTTCCAGAAAGTGAAACAAAAAAGCAAAGGCACTGAGAAAAAAGACCAGTCTACTATAGGGATAAAAAGAAAACAATTTTACTAGCACACAAGAGTCAGACAGAGTAATGTGGGATGAGGATGAAGAAGAAGGCTGATCACACAGAACCTTGGAAGTCACTGTAAGAAATCTGGAATGGAGTGCACTGGAGGATTTCAAGGGAAGAAAAATAACTTGATTCACATGTTATAAAAATCACTTTTTGTTATAATATCAGGCTTGGATTGAAAAAAGGCAAATGTGAATGTGGAAAATCCTATTAAAGTGCTATTACAACTGTCTAGAATGGGGTCCCCAATCCTCCAACTGCTATCAGTTTGTGGCCTGTTAGGAACTGGACCACACAGCAGGAGGTGAGCAGCAGGCAAGGGAGCAAAGCTTCATCTGTATTTACAGCTGCTTCCCATCACTCACATTACTGCCAGAGATCCACCTCTTGTTAGATCTAGTTTCTCATAGGAGCACAAACCTATTGTGAACTGTGTGTGCAAGTATTCTAGGTTGTGTACTCCTTGTGAAAATCTAATGCCTAACGATCTGAGGTGGAGCTCAGGCAGGGATGCTACTACTGGGGAGTGGCTGCAAATACAAATTAATGTTAGCAGTGAGGTGTGACTGCACAGAGGCCATAATATATCAACTGCTTGCAGACATATATCAACACACTATCAGTGAGTGGTAAGTGAATTGATGTGCTTCAAATGTATAGCTGTTTCTGGTGGCATAATTATTGTATAATTATTTCATTATATATTATGTTATATTTCATCATATATATAGTTACATTATATGTTACATATTTACATTATATTTCATTATATATTTACTATATATGCTTACATTACAAAGTAATAATAATAGAAACAAATACCCAATAAATGCAATGTGCTTGAATCATTCCTAAATTATCCCCCCCACCCCCCACCCTGGTCCATGGAAAATTTGTCTTCCACAAAACCAGTCCTTTTGATGTCAAAAAGGCTGGGACCACTGGTCTAGGAGAAAAGTGATAATAGTCTTGGTTAAGGTAGAGACAGAAATAACTGGGCAGATAATATGCATATTTTATAGGTAGAACAAAAAGATGCACTTATGGATTAGATATGAGAGATGAAGAAAGGATAGAAATTAAGGATGTCTTCTAGATCTCTGGAATTAATAACTAAATAAACAATTTCTTATATTTTTAAATAAGGAAAACTGGGTCAAAACAGGAATAGCAGAGAAGGGAATCAGGAGAAATGAAGAGTTCAATTCTGGAGCTGTAGACATTAAGAAACCTATGAAATCTCTAGGTGTAAATAGCAAGAGAGAACTGAACATACATCTGGAGCTCAGAAGAGAAAGTGAAGCAAAGAAATTCCCTGTGAGAGTTGACAGCACACAGCTGGTTTTTAAAGGCCTGGAAATGAATGAGATCACCTCAGGAAATAGCACAAGTACAGAAAGGGGACGAGATCTATTTCCTGAACCACAGAAAAATGCTCAACAAAGGAGACCAAGCAAACAACTAAGAGAGTGTATTAACGCAGAAGCTAAAAGAGAAGAGCATATTAAGGAGGATAGAGTAGTCAACTATGTCAACCACCACCAAGAGGTCAAGTGAAACGAGGACAGAGATTATCCACTAGATTTGACAGCATGGATATCACTGATGACAATGACAAGAGCAATTTCAACAGAGCGGTGGGGATGGAAGTCACAATAGGGTAGGCTGAAGATGGAATGAAAGAGGAGAAAGTGGAGAAGCATGTATATAGATGTCTCTTTAAATAGTTTTGCTATGATGGGGAATTGAAAAATGGAGCAGCTGTTGATAAAGGGGAATGCTAGATCAAGGGACAATCTTTAGCAATGTAAGATGCTAGAGTACACAACAGTTTGTCAGTACACTCAAAATTATGAAACAAGAGGAAGAAGCAGATGATGCAGAAGAGGGGTTGGAAAATCAAAGGAGAAAAAACTTGAAGTGTCTAGAGCAGCAGTCTCCCAAGTGAGGTAAGGCAATCCATTAGAGCTGCTGTGGGGCTTGAGGAGGGATAGTAAAACCATTTTATTTATTTATTTTATTTATTTATTTATTTATTTTTGAGTTGGAGTCTCACTCTGTCGCCCAGACTGGAGTGCAGTGGCCGCTCCCGGCCACTGCAGCCTCGACCTGCTGGGCTCCGGCGATCCTTCCGCCTCAGCCTTCCAAGTAGCAGGAATTACAGGCATGCGCTACCACGCCCAGCTGATTTTTTGATTTATTGTACAGATGAGGTCTCGCTGCCCAGATGGATCTCAAACCCGCGGGTTCAGGCAATCCACTCACCTCAGCCTCCCAAGGTGCGGGATTACAAGCTTAGCCACCGAGCCCAGCTGAACCATTTTATTATTAATGTAAAAAGAAAGAAATCAAGTTTTACTAAAATGTATATGCTCATATGTATGCATAGACACACATATACATATATAAATATGTTTAATACAAGCACTGTTATAAAATAGACACACATTGTGTATGAGTCTATTTTATAAATAACTACCAGTGATGTGCAGGAGATGCTTCATATCTGCTCATGAGCAGCTACTGTGCACATCCCTTCCCAGCTGCACATTCAGTAAAAATCAAGCCTGGGTTTTCCCCCCCGAGAGCCAGCTGTTAAAACCATTTTCTAGGACACCATTGTAGGTGCACAAAGTTTGTTTCTTGACAACAGTATGTGATCAAAAACATTAAGATAGGAGAAAAGATGCTTCCTATCTTGAAATACATTGGAAGGAAAAAAAGATACAAATTCAGATAGGATGGTAAATATGGTAATAGACAGATGAGTAAATTCCAGGGTTTGTTTGTTTGTTTGTTTGTTTGTAGGGTGTGGGGGGTGTTGGGTGGTTGGAGAATGCTTCAATTTTCTCAGTGAAGTATAAAGTGAATCACCAGATAAGAATGTGTGCTAGTCATTAGAGATGTTTGCCAAATAGTTGTGGATGCCTCTCCTGCCACCCAGGTTTTGGGGTCCAAAATACAGTTACACTTCATGGCCTCCTCATGATGGATATGTGATTACTTCCGTCCACTGAGAAATGATGGCCATCACTTCCAGCCTGAAACATTTCATTGTGAGTGCAAGACCTT